GTGAGGACACAAGAATTAACTCTTGCTTGAGCTCGTCACCAGTGAACCTACACCTGGTTTAAAGATGAGGTTCTTCTAATTACGAGCACTTCCTTGCTCTTCCTTTGCGGCTGTCTGGCTGCCAGCACCCGCCTGGCTGTGTCAGAATGCACGTCCCCTTCTTGTGACACTTCGCTCTGCGTGCAGGACTCCAATACTGGTGACAAACTGGAAGTGTCATAGGATCATAGAATAGTTCGGTTTGGAACGGACTACCCAGTGCCACCCCCTGCCCTGGGCAGGGACACCTCCCACCAGACCAGGTTGCTCTAAGCCCCCTCCAACCTGGCCTTGAACCCCTCCAGGGAAGGGGAATTGTCCATCACATCGCCCCACCACTCCTCCTGCACGTGGACCATGGAGAAACGGGCAATTCCTCGCTGGTTTGTCAGCTTTTCCTTCTCTGAACTTGGCTCCAAGGTTTACAAGCTAATCACGAGTGAGGAGCTGTGGGGCCCAAAGGGTACAAGCTGCAGTTGATGAACTGGAGGCTTGGACCTTGGTTAGTTCTGGAGAAGTACTGCCTTCTTGAAGTGGGTCCATGCTGAAGATTTGTCTCCTTTTAACTTTTATTACTGTTTTTTTTTCCTTTCTCATTGTGCCTTCCCATTCCTGCTGTATGGTTTAGCTTGGCATAAACACCAGCTCCTGCTTCTAGTGAAGATAAACCCCTTGGCATTGCTGTTGGCAGCGTGGGAGCGGGGCAGCCAGCAGGCATCTGCCCAAGCCCAGAGCCAGAAAAGAATCCCACCATCCGGTGGCTGCGGGCTCCGGGGAGGGACGCTGCTGCCTCAGCTGGGGAGGCTGAAGCTCCTCGGGATGGGGATTGAGGCAAGGACGGAGCCATTCAGGAGCCACGTGCCCTCTCGCTTGTTCCCATCCTGAGGGAAGAGGAAGGGAAACAGCTTTGCAGGGTTCTCTGCAGAAGCTTAGGAAGGAATTCACGGTCCCCGTCCTTGTTTCCATCCTGTCTTTCCAACGCAGCCCTGTGACAGCTGCTGAACGGAAAAAGGGGGTGGCTGTGCCAGGCAGGAATCTCTGTCCTGCTCCCTGCAGCTCGAGGCTGGTGTGCCGTGCTCCAGGGGGTGGCTTTTTAGCCAAGGGAGAAAAACTGGGTGATCCTTCCTCTCGGCCCACTTGGCAGCTGGACATGGAGGCGCCGAGCGGATGGGGATGGCCTTTGGCCATCCCCAGCGCCATCCCACAAAGATGCAGGGATGTGACAGCCCTGCCTGTGGCCGTGCAGGGCCGGTTCCTCCTCGGTCTCAGAGGGACAGAGTTCAGACAAACCTCTGGGGAGCTCCAGCTTCCCGGGATACCCCACTCTGGCTTGCCAGGGAACAGAGAAGCATGTGTGAAACCTGGGCAGATCCCCCAGTCTCTGTGTGTGGTGGGGTTCAGCTGCCCCTGGCCCGGAGGGGAGGGCTGGGGGTCCCTTCGCTCCATGCTGGGGTGCGCAGGCACAGCCCAAGCCCTCCCTTTCATCAGCTGAAGGCAGGAGGTGCAGCCTCCTGGGTGAAATCAATCCCTTTTCCCCCCTCCTCTCCCTTCTCTCTGTGTTGTTTAGAAAGCAGGGGAATGGCGAAGGGAAAGGCAGGTGTGCAAACAGCTCTCGCAGCTTCCCTCTGCCCAGGCCCCTGTGCTCTTGGCCTGCGAGGAGATATGAAAACAATATATTCCGAGCTTTCTGGTAAAAGCTTTTCTCTCTCTGGCTCTCCAGCCACTCTCAAAGGGCGGGATGCAAACCCTTATCCTTACCATAATGGCAGTGTCCCCATGGGGAGCCTTAGCTGGAGCCCGGCGTTGCATATCACCCTCTGCTTTCCCCTGTCTCAGGGCTGCACGCCCATCTCCAGGCACACTGACTCCAAGCACGGTTTTGGGGTTGTTTTGGTGGCTTTCAGGGAGCGAACTCTATGTCACAAGCTCGCTGCCACGCTGGGACTGCATGGCCCTGAGCAGACGTGGGGGATGGAGGACGGAGGGATGCAGCTGGAGGAATATGCCCACGTTATTCCAACAGCAGCATGCCGTGAGGCTGCTGGGGCCAAGCAGAGGGCTGCATCTTCTCTGGGTTTGAAGGAAGGGGCCTGTGCTGGGAGCCAGAGACAAAGGAGAGCTAATAAGAACCTCGTTAAGCTGCTGCTGGATGTATTTTCCACCATATACTAGTTTCTCCCGCCACAAGTTTCCCGCAGTAACTGCTGTTCCAGGCAAAAGCGTTTTCCTGATGTTTGTACATCCATTTATATATAGCCTTCAAAACGATGGAGCTCATTACCCTCCATCTCCGATGAATAGGTTTTCCTGCCTGTGTGCCATGTCCCACTGCGCGGGATGTGGGAGAGGGGGCCAAGGATAACACAGCCCTTCAATGGTCCCTCAGTGCTCCGCGGAGGGAGGGAAGGGAAGGGAGCTCTCTGCCCTCGTCCGAGCGTGGTTTGGGCTGGGCTGGCTACTAAAATGAACCATGGATGCTGACTACTCCTGGAACGATAGATGCTCGCTAACTTCTCCTGGGGTCCTGACTTTGCAATGTGTTTGCGTTCAGCCTCCCACTTGCAGGTTTTTATCCTCTCTTTTGGGTGATTCATAGGATGGTTTGGGTGGGAAGGGACCTTAAAGCCCACCCAATGTGTCCCCCCTGCCCTGGGCAGGGACACCTCCCACCAGCCCAGGTTGCTCCAAGCCCCCTCCAACCTGGCCTTGAACCCCTCCAGGGATGGGGCAGCCACAGCTTCTCGGGGCAACCTGGGCCAGGCTCTCACCACCCTCACACCAAACAAGTTCTTCCCCACATCTCAGTTCCATCTCCCCTCTTTCAGTGTCAAACCCTTCCCCCTCCTCCTAGGGCTCCCCTCCTGATCCAGAGTCCCTCCCCATCTCTCCTGGAGCCCCTTGAGGGACTGGAAGGGTCTCCAAGGTCTCCCCGGAGACTTCTCTTCTCCAGGCTGAACCCCCCAACTCTCTCAGCCCCCCCTCCCAGCAGAGGGGCTCCAGCCCTCCCAGCATCTCCCTGGCCCTTTGTGGCTGCTGGATCTCTCAGGGAGCTCTGACCTTGCTCGGTGCTGACGGCTCTCCAGCACGTCCCAAGGTTCAGGTTCAGAGTGCTGGGCATGAGGGTCTGCTGCAGGAGGGAAAAGGAGTCTTGGGTCACTCTGCCCTCCTCCAGCAAGCCCAGTGCCACAGTGTGGGCTTGGGCACGCGTCACAGACTGTGAGTCCCCTGCAAACTACTCACTTCACGCTAACGTGGGCTTGAAAACACCACATCAGTGTAACTGGTGCCTGTGAATTGAGGCTTTCCTGCTAGAAGCTGCATTTCAGTGGCTTTTCTGACAGATATTTTTCCACTTAAAAAATACCTCCTTTAAGGAAGTAAATGCAACTCTGCATAAGCTGGGCTTGAAATGCTAATTAATCAAGCAAGAGTCAGTTTAGGAATCAAGACCTGGAGGTAAAGGAGTACCGGGGTGTCGCAGCGTGAGCTGGACACCGGGACGGGATGGGGCAGGGTCAGGAGGGAGGTGGGGACAGCTCTGCGACGGTCACGGTACGGCCATGCCGCACTCACACGGATTGAGTTTTTTCGTGGGCAATTTGGGATGGACTAAGGCAAACAAGGAGCGGAAATGCACAGGGGGGAGGATGGGGCCGTTTCTCCCACAGGAAGCCCGGGATTAAGACAGTGGGTGGATTGTGCGGCCGTCGGGACGGCGCTGCCGGACCCCAGGCTGAGCCCGGCCCCGCAGCTGCGCGGAGAGACAGCAACACGTTGGGCCCAGCGGCTCTTGGCAGAGGAGCCAGGGCCAATTACAACACCAGGAGTGAAAATAAATACAAGCGCTGTAACGGGAAGGAGCGTGGACGGCAGGAAGCCATCGGTCGTGCAGATGGCTCTCACGGGCTGGGGGCTTTCAGCCAGCCCCTGCTGCTGCTCTGAGGCCTGCTCCCATGGCATCTCCCACCGCGGGCACGGAGCCGCTGCCCCCGATCCCAGCTCTGCCTTGGCTGGGTGGGGATGGAGGGTGAAGCCCACCCTACCTTCATCTTTCTGGTGGTGTTGGCTCTGCCAGACCTCAGCCTTGGCTACAACTGTGACATCCCAGGGTGCTACCAGCTCTGGGGGACACTGGGGCAGTGTTTTTGCTATGGGACTTGCAAGCTGGGGGAGCCCAGGTCCTTGGGTGGCATCTGGGCTGGTTTGTGGTCTGAGCTCTGTCTACTGGGTGTTAAATATGATTCTGCTGAGCTTTTGCTTCCTTGAGTCCTATAGAGTGTTTGTACCAGGGCGCAAAGGGACCTTTGAAAGGCCCCAGCTCTGCTTGAACCCCTGGATTAGGAGAGAACATGGAGCAGGAAGGAGGTGGTTCCACTGAGATGCGTTTTAGATGGGAGCTTGGTGCCCTTTTATGTTTCTTTACAACAGCCATGGTGTAGGATTAAAGACCACCTTGTTTATATCCTTAGGAATCTCCTTTCTCCTATCGGTTCAGTTTATTAAATCCTTAGGAGCTTTAATTTACAAATATTTAGGGATTCAGTCCTTTTAAACACAGATGAGGAAAGGAAGAATTCTAAATATGTTTTAAAGGGGATTTAAAGTCGCGAGGTGTGTGTGCACGTGTAAATCCTTGTGTACGTATCGTTACGAGTCCATACACGTGCTACAGGAGAGTGGGTTTTCAGCCCAGGGCGCTGGGTGAACACCCAAAGGGTTGTCAAGCCTTGGAAGAGGCTGCCCAGGGACGTGGTGGAGTTACCATCCCTGGAGGTATCTAAAAGCCATGGAGACGTGGTGCTGAGGGACATGGGTCAGTGGAGCTTTGGGCAGCGTTGGGTTGATGGTTGGACTCAGTGATCTGAAAGGTGCCTTCCAACCCAAACGATTCCATGATTCCATGCTTCTGTGCTCCGTGTGGGTGCTCAGAGCTGACTCCCCTGTTCCCCTCTGTCCCACAGGTTAGCAGCACCAGCCTGGTAGGGTCCATCTCGGATAGACGCGGATGATGCCAGAGCTATGACAGGGATTGCAGTCTTGGCACTGAGGGGTGATCAATTATGGAACAACTACAGGAGGAAGTACCTGAGGTCAGGGAAGAGGAGGAGGAAGAGGAAAAGGCAGTGACAGTGGCAAGTGGAGCCTCAGAACCAAGTGGAGGACCAGACAGCTCGCTGCCTTCGAGCAGCTACACAGGTGAGTGTCCCTGGAGCCTCCAGGCATCCACGTCCTCCAGGGAGAGGGCAGAGGACCTTGAAGTTTGCCTGGTTTTAAACTCTTCCCTTTGTAAAATAATGCATCAAGAGCCAAGTTATGGACAGGCTTATTTCTTCCCCTGTGGTCACTGCACAGCCGTCAGCAGCAGGGTGGGAGGTGGAAATTAAAAGGACAGGCAGGTAACATTGTACCCCAAAAGGGGAGGACTCTCAGGGCACATGGGAACGGTCCTTTGGCTGCTTCTTGACATCCTTGGTGCAAACTGGTTGTAGGAGCTGGAGGAGAAGGTTTGTTGCTGCGGTCAAGAGGCTCCTCCAAGAGCCCTGGGTGTTCCAGCTGGGCAGCCCTGTGCCAGCTGCCTGCCAACTGGGGATTATAAAATGTGCTGGTTGGGTTTCATTGCCCAGACACGAATGCCAGCGGGAAGAAATCAGCGCTGATGTGGAGTCTCAGCTGCCGGGCACACTGGGAGCACTGGGAGCACTCTTGGCTCTGGGCTTGGCATCTGCCTCCCACCAGGGCCTGATCTCAGAGGTGAACTGCCCAGACGCAATCCCAGTGGCAGAGTGGGACAGTGCTGGAAATCCCTCATCAGCCCCATGGCCGGGGGAGTCGGAGGCGACGCTGGGCTCGCAGCTACTGCATGAAAGGACGTGTTCCCTTTGTGCGTTTGCAGACCTGTCGCAGAGCTCCTCTCCCTCCCTGTCGGACCAGCTGCAGATGGGCTGCGAGGAGGCGGCCTTGGGAGCGCTGAACGTGGAGTGCAGGGTCTGCGGGGACAAAGCCTCAGGGTTTCACTACGGCGTGCACGCCTGCGAGGGCTGCAAGGTACGTGTGCCAAGCAGAGGTGGGACCCCAGGTCTGCAGATGAGCCCGTTTGCCGCAGAGCAGGGAGGCGGGATTGGGTGATTTTAAAAAATAATCAACGCAACCCATCCAGAGAGTGTGGAGCATAGAGGCAGGCATGCCAATAGTGTCCTGGGGGAGGCAGCTGAGATGTGTATGGCCCAAATCCTGCCCCGTCACGCTTTACTTTGTAAGGTAAATCCGTCTAGTCCCATGGGAACTCCGGCTTTGCTATTAAAGATGCTTTCTGTGCTGCAGTGAGCTGTGTGTTTATCCCCCTGGGATCACTGGCCACAGCTTGGATGTGCCTCTGGAATTCTTTCCCCCGCGGCAGATGCCAGCGGGGCTGCGTTAGTGGCCCAGGTCCTGCCAGACATTCCTGCCGGCCGGGGCCAAGCCGGCAGCTTGTTCCTCCATCCCTCCCTGCCGGCTGCCGGCAGCACCACACACCCTGTCCCCCCGCTTCCTCCTCTGCAGCCCCTTCTCCCACCGCCCACCTCTCCATGGGACAGGGGCTCTGCTTGTGTCAAAGAGACACAGGGCTCCTCCAGGACCTGAACCTCCTGGAGGAGGTTTATTATTATTATTATTATTATTATTGTTATTATTATTATCCATCCCGGGGATAATAAACCAGCCTAGTCCCAAGCCATGGGTGCTAACACTGCTGCTCCTTTGTCCCCCTGTGCCACCTCCCTGCAGGGTTTCTTCCGCCGGACGATCCGCATGAAGCTGGAGTACGAGAAGTGCGAGAGGAGCTGCAAGATCCAAAAGAAGAACCGGAACAAGTGCCAGTACTGCCGCTTCCAGAAATGCCTCTCGCTGGGCATGTCACACAACGGTGAGTGTCACCTTTGTCCACAGCCCTGATCAGTTGGGTGCCACGGGGCCATCAGCCCTTCTGGGCTCGCACAGAGCTTGCTGTGTCCCATGGCTCTCCTCCTGCCAGGGGATCATCTTTCTAACCCAGCGCTTAGAGCCTTTGACTCTTCATCCCCATCTTCTGCATGAGAAGGGGCTGTTCATTCCCACCGCGCAGGCCGGCTGTTGGCACTTGGCTGTCCCTTACAGGTTGACCCAACGGGAACTGGATGCACAGATGGCTCTTCTGTGCTGGGATTTTTAAATTTCAGGTGTAACCCATCTTGTTCCCGGCCAAAGAAGGTGTTTGTGTGAGAGCCCAGAGGAGCGGGGATGGGAGCTTAGCATGAGGGTGGGTTGGAAAGGGTGAAAGTAATAGCTGGCTCATGGTGTTGATGCTGGAGGAGCACCGTGTTGCGTAGCTGCAGGTGTTCACCATCTCTGTGGTGGCAGAGCAGACCACTGCCTCCCTGGACACATCTCCAGGAGTCATCCCCAGTGTCCTGACCCACTGGTTTTGCCCCTCACCACAGCGATCCGCTTCGGCCGCATGCCAGAGGCAGAGAAGAGGAAGCTGGTGGCGGGGCTGACAGCGAGCGAGATCAGCTGCCAGAACCCGCAGGTGGCCGACCTGAAAGCTTTCTCCAAGCACATCTACAACGCCTACCTGAAAAACTTCAACATGACCAAAAAGAAGGCGCGAGGTATCTTGACCGGGAAGGCCAGCAGCACCCCAGTAAGTTCCCTCCCCAGGGCAGGCAGGGTTGGCCATAAAATAAGACGGGAGGCTCTTCTGTGGGAGATGCTGTACATCTCCCTCCCGCTGTAGCTGTCCCACCTGCAGCAGCTCCTGGAAGAGCCCTGGGTCTCTTTGACACGTCCTGCCCTCGCTGGGAGAATCCCCGTTGCTCCATGTGCAGTTGTGGGTGGATGGAGGTTGCCCGGGCACTCCATGTGGGTGTCCTTGGCAGAGCTGGTCCCCCGAGTCCCCGCGGCAGGTTCCTCACCGCTCGCTTCTTTTTTCAAGCAGCCTTTTGTGATCCACGACATGGACACCTTGTGGCAGGCGGAAAAGGGGCTGGTCTGGAAACAGCTGGTGAACGGCATCCCCCCCTACAAGGAGATCGGGGTGCACGTCTTCTACCGCTGCCAGTGCACCACGGTGGAGACTGTGCGGGAGCTGACGGAGTTCGCCAAGAGCATCCCCAGCTTCTTAGGCCTCTACTTGAATGACCAAGTGACTCTGCTGAAGTACGGGGTGCACGAGGCCATCTTTGCCATGCTGGCCTCTATCATGAACAAGGATGGGCTCTTGGTGGCCAACGGGAACGGCTTTGTGACCCGTGAGTTCCTGCGTAGCCTGCGCAAGCCCTTCAACGAGATCATGGAGCCCAAGTTTGAGTTTGCTGTGAAATTCAACGCGCTGGAGCTGGATGACAGTGACCTGTCTCTCTTTGTGGCTGCCATTATCCTGTGCGGAGGTGAGCAAGCGCTCTTGGCCATGTGGGGCAGAGTCCTGCTGGATTTGGAGGTGGTTGGTTGGGGCTGGGCTGGCGGAGCTGAGGGGCAGCAGGCCTTGCCATTAGCCAGGGGTGACTTAGGGGGACGATAGAAGAACTGAACTGTTCCGAAACCAAAGCTTCTCTGTGGTGGTGACACCTAGAAAGCTTGGACCAAGAACAAGGAGCATAGAAGTGGCATCTCCTCACATGCTGCTGAGAGATATGTTGTCCACGAGCACACTTCTGCCCTTGTCTAGTTGATGAGGATGGTGGTGGGTGGGTTCCAGTCCCCGCCTCCCTTTCCCCAGGAGGAGCGTGTCCTTTGAGGGCTACACTGTAACACTGCGGCTACCCTGCTTCTTCTCCACAGACCGGCCCGGCCTGATGAACGTGAAGCAGGTGGAGGAGATCCAAGACAACATCCTGCGAGCGCTGGAGTTTCACCTCCAGTCCAACCACCCAGATGCCCAGTACCTCTTCCCCAAGCTGCTGCAGAAGATGGCCGACCTGCGGCAGCTGGTGACAGAGCACGCCCAGCTGGTGCAGAAGATCAAGAAGACGGAGACGGAGACGTCTCTGCACCCGCTTCTGCAGGAGATCTACAAGGACATGTACTAAGGACCTGTTATTTATGAGAATGAAGCCATGGAGTCCCATCAGGACTTTTTGTACAGGAACACGGAAAAAACCTTTCCCCACGTCTTCCATTTCTTCTACTGGAAACTCTTTTCTACATCACCCCGACATACGGTACATGGGGCACGATGCTGCAGGACTTTGCAGCCGCCTCCTGCTGGGCCAGGGCTTCCATTAACACACACTAACACACCTACAGCGGCAAAGCGTGAGCTGCTCTTTCCGTTACCTCAGCCCAGCCCTTCGGCTGCTCCCCAGGGGCCCTGTTTACGTGGTGGGGTCCCTGCGGCAGCTCAGGACCCTGGGGGGTTGCTCTGGTCGTTAGGAGACCCCAGCACAGTGTGGGGGGAGGGTGTCACACGGCGGGGCCAGCACAGCACTTACAGCCTGTCTTCATTTTCTTTTTTTATATTGCACTCCCGAGGCGTAGCTCTGAGCCGGGAAGCCTGGGACAGTGAAATGAAAGGAAGTTTTTCTCTTTCCCAAAGAAAAGCCGGAGTGTTTGAAGACGGGGAGGGCTGTCCTGGCTCAGCTGCAGCCCCAGCGTCGCTGTGTGGTGTGGCCCTGTCTCCCGGAGGGATTGTGTGGTCTCTGCCTTCCCCTGAGTGCCCTGTGGGAGCCCTCACTCCTGGTACCCCCATTTCAGGGGGAACCTGCCCCTCAGCACTCCTAAAAATTCACCTTCAGAGCCAAGGCCTGTTTGCTTCCCCGGGCTCTTGTGTGCAGACAGGAGTTACCAGAAGGTGTGTGCAGGGACAGGGACAGACCTGAGACCGGGGGGGGGTTTGCTTGTCCTGCAGCTCCTTTCCCAAGCCCCGGGGCGGGGGGCCTGGGGGCTTCACAGGGCATTTGGGTGTCAGGGTCTGAGCTTGTCCTGCAGCTCCTTTCCCAAGCCCCGGGGCGGGGGGCCTGGGGGCTTCACAGGGCAGTGTGTGCAGCAGAGGGTCTCCAGCAGCTCCTGAGAGCACCAGAGCAAGCGAAGGGGGAAGCACAGCCACGACCAGCCCCGGGGGGTCACCGTGCCGACAGGGCACTGACCGTCGACTGCCCTGCCTCAGTTTCCCCTCTGGGAAAGGGAGCTGGATTGTCACCCACACTCTGCTTGGGGAGGTGGGGGGGGCACGAGGATTAATTAGTGCATTGGTTGCAAAGAGCTTTGCAGCTGTAAAACACAGTATAAATGCCAAGTGTTTATAAAAGGGGAGGAGAGGGTGGGATGCTCGTGATGAGCAGGATCTTCCTGGGGGGAGTGTGGTCACGTTGGGGGGACAGCCTCCCGTCCTCTGCCACCATCCCGAGTGCGGGGACAGGCTTCGGGGTCTGCCTCAACCCAGAGCCCTTCTGGGACTTTACCTCCCGATTTCTCACAGTAGTGAAACACCACGGTGCTGCCCACCCCGGGACAGGACCCCCACGTGGGGGGCTCTGTCACCCGGGGCCTGGGGGGAGAGGATGGACCTGGGAAGGGCTCGGTCCCCTCTGGGGATGAGGGTGTCTGACTGAAGAAGCAGCACTTGCCCGTCTGCAGCTCGTGGTCCCGGGTGTCCCGAGCAGCCTTATTAAAATACTGATATTCCCAAGGAGGGTGTTGTGGGAGCAAATGAGTCGGTTTTATTTTATTTTCCTCCTCTGCAGGGTAGCAGATTTCCCTGGTGCAATAATTCTTTTCAAAACCCCCAAGGGGAAGAGCGCTGGGCTTCCTCTGCGTGTCCCGGGACTGGCCAGTCCCAAACCTGCCCCTGCTGCCACACTCGGGCTCCTTGCCGTGCCTCAGTTTCCCCACCCTCTGCCTGCCCGGCCCCTTCCCCTCCCTACCTCGCAGGGGTGTTAGGAATTACCGTTTCTAAAGCACTTTGAAATCCTCTGGGGGAAGGCACCGGAGCACCGGAGCCCTGGCCAGGGGGGGATTGTCCCTCCCGAAGCCCTGCGGTGGCGTCCCCCCTCCCCGGCCACGGCCGGCCTCTGGGACTCGTGTCCTCATCACCTGGGGAACTTTTTGCTCTTCCCTCCTCGACAGTGCAACAACCTTTAAACTGAAATGTATATTTTTGCTAGAAGTACAAAACTCCAAGTGTTTTTAATAATATAGTGTCCACAAACTGACTTGACTTTAAATAAATCCGAAGTAAATATTTAAGAACCTTTTAGTGTCCAGCCTTTCTTGGGGTTTCTCTCGGCCCCTGGTGGCAGTTTCCAGCAGAGGCCATGCTGGATTTGCCGTGATTTCCAGGGATTTGCTGTGATTTCCAGGGATTTGCCGCGATTCCCAGGTCTCGTAGCTGCTTTGTTTTTCCCACCAAACCTAACGGCAGCAAGAACCGGCCGTGAGCAGGGTCCCAGCCTTGGAGCCCAGCTCTCCGTGCCCTGAATCTTTGCCTTGCTGTGGGGTGAGGCTGGGCATGGGGCTGAGTCCACCCCAAGGCGGGTGAGGATGGGCTTGGGGACAACCTGGGCAAGGATGGGGGACATCCCAGACACGTGCTGGAGCTCAGCCCACCCCAGGGTGGGTGAGGATGGGCTCGGAGATATCCCAGCCACTGCTAGAGCACATCTCGCCCCAAGACGGGTGAGGATGGGCTTGGGGGACAACCTGGCCATGTGCTGGAGCTGAGCTCACCCCAAGATGGGTGAGGATGGGCTCGGGGACATCCTGGGCTCGGATGGGACTCATGCGCTGGCACCGGGCTCTGCTCTTGGCCCGGTCGGAGCCCCCCAGAGTTTGTGGGGAGCAGCCGCAGAGCCCCGGGCTTCCCTTTCTCCCCCCTGCCCCCCCCAGAGGAAGCCGGACCATCGGCTCCAGCCCCCGCGGTGCCGGGGGCGGGGGGAGGCGCGGGGGGCGGGGG